TCGCGCTGCGCAAGAATGTCACATCCGGTCAGCGAAACGCCTCGTTCGGCGGCAGAAATGGATCCCGGACCTAAACGGCTCGCCGCAGCGTTTTCCGCCCAGCGTTTCGCCCCAGCGGCAAAAGCTGGGCGGATCCGCTGGCGGATCCGCAAGTGTAAACGTACCATAAGGGAGCCAAAGTTGCGCGTCTGTTTTCCACGCTTTGCCGCGTCGCTATTCGCCGAGATCCGATCACGTGAGGAGCCGGATCAAATGCCGTGCAAGAAAGTAGACGTTGCGCGCGCCCCGCCGAACGTTCCCCTGCTTTTGAGCGCGCCGCCCGCCTCGAACGCGAGGCGCTGCTATTTGCCGAATGGACTTCTTCCGAAACCGACGCGCCCCATCGCGGCGAAATACCACGCAGTGCACTCTGGGAACTAGTTGGCCACTCAGTTTTGGTTTCGACTGAGCAGCTTCATCTCATGCTATCACGCCGTGACCGAACGCGCTGCTGGCGTTTTCGATTATCTGACTTTTCACGAACATACAATACACTCATTCTCGGGCTATTCAAAACGAAGACCGGGGAACTTTCCTTGGTTCCTGAAACACCGGATATTGTGCGTGCGTACGCAAACGTATCGTGGCTTAGTCACCTCACCCCACGAGTGCGTGTTTGAGCTCAATTTCAATAATCCCGTCTAGTACCAGTGAACTAAAACTGAAATTTGTTCATCTGGAGCCTTACACGTATTTTGTTTGCCAAACGTCCGCTTCTTGTTACTTCATTCAGCGAAAAGCAAGCCGCATCCTCACAGGGTATCAAAGTTGAACCCAGCGTTTACGCATGAACTTTTAAGGAAACGTAATAAATTCGACCTCACTACTGCACAGAAGTTACTATGATGGCTTCCTCGTGTCATCATATATCTCCCACTCAAATTTTATGCTGATAGAAGATTAACTTTTCGCAAACGCTGAGATCGGCTAGCTACGACGGAGGCCCTAACAAGCGTTCCCTACTCCTCGCTAAGCCTTTTTGGACGAGCTTTTACTGACGCCCAAGATCTGTGCCTGAACGGTGTGTCTGAAATTATCTCGGCACGCTCAGACAGGAAGAAAGCAAACACATAACAAATATTATGGCCATTAGCAACCGTCAAACGCGCTTTGAATTCGTTCGTTTGGCGCACCCGTCCGGCGCACTTCCGGCGAACGGTGCGACATTCTTCAGACAAGAGCTCGACTTTTGCTCTCTTAAAACAATCTGTATGTGCGAATTTGCCTATATATGATTGCAGGATAACTTTATGCGCGTACGCGATGTTGAATATTAGTGGAATGCAAGCGGGTGGGGACTTCACTTCGTGCAGTGCTGCGGGTCAGTACAGATAAGAGATAAGAAGTGTGTTAAAATTGAGCTTTTCAATGGCGCCTCCTAGTTTTACCTCGCGTACTCAGGCATATTAAGAAAAACAGTAATTGCCAAAAGTAATATTTCGTCTATGGACGCACGAAAGAAACGAACTGCCTGATCAACAACACTAATCTAAAGGCGCAGGCTCGATGTATGCATGTTGCTACGGCTTGTTGATTCGTACACAAGCAAGATCCCCGAGCTTCGCAGCGTCGAGATTCCCAGCACTGGCTCGTCCACATACCTCGGTTGGAACGCTAACAGGAAGGCTCAAGTACAAAAATGCAGCAAGCATATGTTAAGACAAGCTATACGTCTCAGGCTTGTGCTAAAGCTTCGAGGTCTGGCCATTTAGGTTAGTTTACAGACCACAAACGACGCTCTCGGGACCAGGAAACATGAGATAACGGCCGTTAATAGTCCACGCTCTGTGTATAATCTCTTGTCGACGTGTCGATCGAAACCGAAACCATGCCACCCTCCTCCCTGGCCAACTAGTTCCCAGAGTGCAACGCGCGCCGTGTTGCATGCAGGACGTTGTAGAAGTAGTCTATTCAGTCACGTGACGAGCTGGATCAACATGCCATGCAGAAAAGACGGCGCTACGGGGATGAACGCGCAACTCTGGCTCCCGTAGGGAGCCTACACAGGAACTCCACCCTCCCCAAAAGGACGAAGGCCAACGGAAAAAAAAGGGGGGGGGGGGGGGTGCAAGGTTTTGTTATTTTAAGATGAAAAAGAACGATAAAAAAAAACACTTGTGTTTTATGTTGCAAAGCATCCTACTGTCCAGGAGACACCCCGTAAATTTTAAGACAAGAAACCTTGCTCTTTTTGCTTTTTGTAAGCTCATCGGTTGACTTCCTTAGCTTTTATTTGCGTATACGACTACTTTGTACCCACAACTGATGTTCTAAAAAGATGTAAAACACCATCACACAACAGTACTGACATTCTTCATTAGAACGAGAGCAAGCACAGCATCATTTCCCTGTCGCACAAATAAAAAATGACCTTTGCTTTCCAGGCGATTTTAACCCGAAAGCATTAACTGTCCCATGGAACGAAGCCGACGTTGTCTGTAACCGCCTGTGACAGCAAAATGGCACCCGAGTTCCGATTGGCCAAAAGCATAGCAACGTAGATACATCGTCACGGAAGCCGTGGAGCCGGCGGCGCTCGCTGCGCCTGCGCAGGGGGGGGAGCGTGATGTCACCGCCGGAGCGCCGTGTGACAAATGAAGACGTGGCGCGCTGCTTGCAGGAATGCACTTCGTGTAGGAATGCGTTTGCATTCCTACACGCAAACAATTTTGTGGCAACATTATAAGGAAATATTTTCATTTTAGAAGGCATTGACTGGCAGATAGAAGCCCGAGCTCATAGCTCTATCTTTGACTTTGGCCGTTGCTCCTGCTGAACTAGAGTTCGTGCAGCCGAGGTGCCTCCTTGAGCAAAGAGCTCGGACTTGTGTAACCTTGTAGTTGTATTGCCGTTCCGTTTGATTTACGTGAGAAAGGGCTGACAGCACATATGTAGACCAAGCGATACTTCTTTAAAAAAATGAAACAGAATAGTGCAAAATGCGTGAACAGGGTAGAGCTCCCTTTTGAGTGGAAATGAATCGACAATATAAAACTAATATTTATGGCGCATATGGTGCTGGAGGCTTTGGGAACGGGGGCTTGCAGCCGCGGGATGCTTGTCGGCACATCCCAGAGAGTCGCGGCCCACGTGTTTGGGACCCCTGGTGTAGGGTAATGAAAGGGCATAATTGAGAGATTGTGTTAAGAAGTAAGAAGTACTTCTTTTTTTACTTTCAAAGTACATTGCATTGATTGTACCTTATTACAAGTCCATTGGACCAAGATGTACTTACTACTTTACTTGAAGTACATAACCTCTAATATACTTCGTACGTTAATTCAAGCATATTTTAGATACACTTTACCTAACACTGGTGCTCGCACAGCACTCGGGTTAAATTTCTACAATTGAATATCGTTATTATAAGATAATAGGGACTTTTAGGGAACCGTTTTTGCACATACGATACGGTGCGATGGGCCCTCCGGTACGAACTGCGCATATGCTTATCTTCTCCGGTAGCGCATGCGCAGTTGGTACAGGAGGGCCCATCGTACCATATGGGATGTGCAAACACGGTTCTGTAAAACGTTTTATTTTCGCGACTACGACAACGATACGATACCCGTTCCTACGTCGAAATGTTTGCCGAAGCAGAAGTTGGAAGAAAAAGTCCACACGTATCGTCGAAATTCATCACCAGGCTGAAAGACGGACGGCAGTGCATGTGGCCATTATCACCCCATCTATCCCCACCAGCAACCGTCGAGATGGTTGTTTACCAAAACGCAACACTGAGAGACTTTAGGAATAGTGGCATGATCATCAGGTTTCAGTTCCTATCAACCTCTTTAGTGGCCGACGTGATCATATGGAGTTGGGTATAAACTAAGGGGCGTTGGCTATTTCATAAACCAATTGTCAACAATGTTATGCAGTTTTTACACGTTAAAAATGTTTTGTGCTATGCACTGTCAGTACACTGGATATAAAAAATATCTTTATCTAAATATACATAAAGATAACAGACTACGTCTTGCCCAGGGAATCCGATGGAATGACGCATGCTCTTGCAAATGTAAAAAAAAATGGTTCGTGCTTCGCGTATTAACTCTGCACAGAATAAATAGAGAGGAAATAAGCACCATTTGCGTTATGGCTAAACGAAAACAACTGCTAAAATAAATACAGTAAAATGAAACACGCTTGTAACCCCCTGTAACGCCGAATTAGAGCGCAGCTCTTGAGGAGGAAAAGGGGAAGGTACGGAGAGGGGGGCATAGCCCTCCTCCTCTACCGTACCCTCCCTTACTCCTCTCCAGCTCGCCTCCCATTTAGGGGAAATTTTTTTTTAAATTTAGCAAAAAAATTTTTGTGTTAATTTAGCGGGGAAATTTTCCCGCTAAATTTAGCGGGGAAAGTTTTCAGCTAAAATTAGTGGGGAAACATTTACACTAAATTTAGTGGGGAAAATTTTAAGTTATTGTTAGAGGGGAAATTTTTTTCACAAAAATTAGCGGGTAGTTTTTTTCGCTAAATTTGGCGGTACATTTGTTCCGCTAAATTTAGCGGGAAATTTTTTTCTGCTAAATTTAGCCGGGAAATTTGATCGCTAAATTCAGCGGGGAAACGTTTTCCGCTAAATTCAGCGGGGAAATTTACCCTAAAGCAACGCGCGGTGACGTCATCTATGCCGTCACTGGTGACCTTCGTGACGTCACGTGTGACGTCATTATGGGAAAAGTCCCATAATGGACCGCGCGATTACGCCGACGGCGATGCCGACGCCGCTCAAGCCGGAAACAGCCGCCTACGAGCTGCGCTCTAAACCAAATGCTACAATTCTGATACAGAGTTGTGGCATGCGCTTAGTAGAGCAAAAATGTACGATAAATAACATTATGAAAAATATATCAAACAGGGCAGGTGTCACATAACTGGTACCCGCAAAAAAAAAAAGAGTTCGAAGGCAGACAGAACATTTTTTGCGACTTACCAGACCGTCTTCGGGGCAAACTTCAGGTGGCATCCGCAGCGTCTGTCTTGGACCACTGCATGTCACGTTGCATGATGGAAGGCGAGAAGTAAAAACATCCTGCAATGCATTGACATATGATGTCAGAAATGAAATTTTAAATAAGACTGTGTCCGTTAAAAAAACAATAAAAACAATAAAAAATGTTGAAAAGCAGGATTGAAAGGCCCACCCGCCAGCAGAGAAAAGGAAACTGATCCTGAATTTCCTTTTCGCCAACCCTCCCACCACAGGGAGAAGGAAATCACCTCTTGATTTTTCGTCGCCATTTTCTAACCTCTTTTTTTTTTTTTTTTGACCGCCTGCTTGATTTTTTTGTGCAAGTTTGGTAGGTAGAATGAAAGTTTAAAAGTAAATTCAGAACAGAATAAAAATTTCCTTTCCTCTTTTTTTCGCCGTGCCTTTTATTTGTAACGCGCAAACGATTCGTTTCGTCAACAAAAGACTCATGCAAAAAAAAAAAAAAAAACTTTCAGCTTTTTCACTTCGGTGAAGAAGAAAGACCAGCGGAGTTGTACAATGGAAAGTAATGGCCGGCCGCAAGTCATCAAGCCATGGATGGATGGATGGATGAATACGGCTGAGCCCTTTGCATCGGGCGGTAGCTTACCCCACCTAGCCATTTTCTTTTACCATTTAAGCTTAGAATATTTAAATGTGAAATCTATATTCACTCCGCAGTGCAAAGAAAGTGAGGCTATGAAACCCCCTTGCCATCAGTGGATAAGAAAATACCTAGTTTTCTCTCGATTTCTGCCACCATTCACTTAATCTTTGCTTGGTAATCTCTACAGTCTTGAAATCCACTCTCCCTTCGCTGTCTCTAAAACCCAATGACTTTATTAAATCTATGTTGTCTTCGGTAGGCATAGGGTGAAGCCCTTTACAGTAGAGTATCAAGCGCTCAGCCGTCTCGTCCTCCTCTCCACAAGCAGTGCACACTGTATCAATTTCCTGGTACTTCACTCTGTATGTTCTGGTTCGCAGAACACCCGTTCTTGCCTCAAACAGCAATGAGCTTCCCCTAGAATTGTCATAAATGCTTTCTTTGGCAATAACTCTTTTGTTTAATCTATAGCTTTCCAGAGCCGTCTTTGTCTGCATTCCCTCTAGCCACCAACCTCTTTCTGTGGCCTTAACTTTCTTCTTAACTGAGACTTGCTCTTCGGTATCTTCGCTATAGCCCAATAACTTTCCTCTTAATTTCCTAGTGCGCTGTCTCCACTTTGTGTCTACACTCCTCATGTATAAATAGCTGAAAACCTTTCGTGCCCATTGCTCCCCGTCCATTTGCCTCAACCTATCCTCAAATTCTACCTTGCTCACCGCTTCCCTGCTCTCAAATGATGCCCATCCCATGTCTCCTTGTACTCCCTGGTTTGGCGTTGTGCAATGTGCCCCCAAAGCCAGTCTACCTACTCCGCGCTGTTTTATTTCTAGTCTCGCATGCACTTCGGATTTCATGCATAGCACTGCGTTTCCAAAAGTCAAGCCAGGCACCATGACCCCTTTCCAAATCTCTCTCACCACCTCATACCTGTTGTAATTCCAAAGTGCTCTATTTTTCATTACAGCTGCATTTCTGTTGCCCTTACCTATTATATACTTTTCATGGTCTCTGAGATATTCTGCACCATCACATATCCATACTCCTAGATACTTGTATTTACTAGCTCTCTCAACTGTAATATTCTGTATCTTCAGCCTCTCAACTTCATCCTCGTTAAAAATCATGACTGCCGATTTTTCGCTACAGAATTCTAAACCTCATTCCTCTCCTTCCCTACCACAGATGCTCATTAATTCCTGCAACTCTGTCCTGTTGTTAGCCATTAGTACAATATCATCCGCATACATCAATCCCGGTAAGGATTGCTGAATTTTTTGGCCTAGCTTACTGTAAGAAAGGTTGAACCCAAGCCCACTCTTCTCTAGTCTATCCTCTAATCCTCTCAGATACAACATAAACAGCAAAGGCGATAACGGGCACCCCTGCCTAAGGCCTCGTCTTATCTCTATTTTCCCTGTCGCCTTTCCTTCCCATGTTATAATCACCTTGTTATCTTTGTAAATGTTCCTTTATAGTGCTGTTAGTCCTTCATCTAGGTTTAAGTTCTCCATTATGTCCCACAGGTTTCTTTGGTTCACATTGTCATAGGCACCCTTGATATCCAGAAATGCCAGCCAGAGCTGTCTGTTTTCTTTTTGACCTATTTCTATACACTGTGTTAGAGAAAATAAATTGTCCTCCAACCTTCTTCGTTTTCGAAACCCGTTCTGTAATTCGCCCAGTATGCCCTCGCAATCTACCCATTCCTCCAGTCTGTTCTTTATAATCTGCATTACCAACCTGTAAATAACCGGTGTCACGGTTATAGGACGATAATTCCTAATATCAGACTTATCTCCCTTTCCCTTAAATATCATACTCATCCTACTAAGCCTCCATTCATCTGGAATATTTCCTTTTGTTATCATGGTACTCACTACCTCCCTTAGTTTTGCCTTAGATTTAGGACCCAAATTCTTCACCAGCTTGATAGGGATACCATCTGTGCCTGTCGACGTGCCACTAGGGACTCTTCGTTCCGCCTTTTCCCATTCTCTTTGTCCAAAATCCGCGATGTCACAAACTGGACTGCTACTTCCTTCGGTTCTCCTATCTTCCACATGTAACCGTTCCCGAAATTTATCCTCCATCACTGCTCCTATATATTGTATCGCATCATCTCCCTCTAATTGATCTCCCTGATGCGAGAGTATGAACCTCTGGCTAGCTTGCGTTGTTTCACCGAGGGAGTTCAAGTGCTCCCAAAACTTCTTGGCAGCGTTTCTATCTTTCTTACTTACATTACTCATCCATTCCTCACCCTTTCTCTGAATTTTCGCATTGATCAAACTGGATGCCTCTCGGCGACATGTTATAAAATTGTCCCATTTTCTTTTTACTTCCGTTTCGGACTCCCCACTACGCTTGGAATACCTGTGTTCTCTAGAGGCTTCCTGACGTTTTTGTATCGCTTGCTTCACTTCTTTGTCCCACCAGCTTTTTGGTCTATGTCCTTGCTTCCCCTTTCGTTTACTCTTAACTTTGTCTAGTTCTAGAGCAAAAAGCCTAGTTAGGCTCTCATAGGTCCAATCTGTATGCCGGTGCCCTGAAACTGCTGCCTCTATTCTTTCAACAACTATTTCCAACTCTTTGTCGCTGCAGAAAGTTTGCTTTGAATTATGTTGTCTAGTTTTAGGATTTACTTCTCTGGCAAAATTCAGCTTAATACGTTTGTGATCACTACCAAGACTTTTGGAACCTTCTTCATCTGTTTTCATTACTTGTAACTAACCATATATTTTGTGTGACATGAGTACGTAATCTATAGTTGAATGCAGATTGCCAGTTTCCCAAGTTATGTGCCCGTCACACTTCTGACTGGTATTACATAAAACTAAGTCATGTTTTTCCACCAGTTCTAGTAATATGCTTCCAGTTGAGTCCGTATACCCATCCAGACCCTCAATATGGGCATTCATGTCTCCCATAATAATTATTTCGGAGCCTTCCCCTAGTTCACTAATGTCTCTTGATATGCAATCAATCATTTTTCTGTTTTCCTCTTTAGCACCTGTCCCTGTCCATAAGTAAACCACTCCAAGGACTGTTGATTCCCCAGCGACTTTTCCTTTCAGCCACAAATGTTCGGCGCACTCCTTTCTGATCCTTCGAAAGTTCATATTCTTCTTAATAAATGCTCCAATTCCACCTCCCTTCCTCGTTCCCTCCATTCTGTTGCATTCTTCCCACACATAGTCAGGGTTGCAAGGTGGCTGCTCCATGTCTCTGAGATGTGTTTCCACAAACCCATACACCATTAAATCCTCCTTTCTTAGTTGCTCCTCTACCTCTTCCCATTTTAACCTATTTCTACCACCCTGCATGTTAATATATCCAATGTCTGATTGTGCTGTTTTTTTATACCTGTTCTTACGTTTTCTCCTCTTTTTAACCCTGGGTGCCTCTCCTGACTTCGTTGGGTTTTCAATTACTTCAGTGCCCCCAGGGCCCTCGGTCCCCCCAAAAAAGCAGTCACCGTGCGGCCCATCCTATCCCCCACCCTGTAACCCGTGGCCTCACTGTAGTGAATGCCATCTGCAAAAGGGCGGGAGCCAGCCTCGTACACCTCTCTGTTTACTTCCATTACGTCGTACCGAAGCTGTCGACTCATACCCTTAATTACTCCGTTGGCTTCGACAACCCTCCTCTCCGTTAAGCCAGAGTGGAAATGCTGACGCCCTCTATGAGCGACGGCGGCAACCAGATACGTCGCTTGCCGCCGTCGCTTCGGTGATGTTCACAGAGTGGGTCACCAGTCTTAGAACATTCCCCCTGGCAAAATCTTTATTCAGTGGCATTATTGATGTTCACCAGTTAGCTTACCAGCTCCATAAACAGCGTGTCCCCCCCCCCCCCCCCCCCCAAAAAAAAAAAAAACATTTACAGTGTTTGTTTCACCGCGAAAATAGCGACGCGTTGCCGAACGCTCAGTTTCCGTCCAAATGTAGCGCTAGCGGTTCGAACCTGATGCCAATGTTTCAAAACTACTCTAAGGAAAAAAAGCTTTTGCCACATAAAGCCCTTCAGAAGTTTCGAGTCCAGGGCCGGCTTGCTCAAAACAGCGTCTCGGCTGAGAGTTGGTGAAAGAAAGTACTGGGCCAGAGCCAGCGCACGAGCTGAGCCGCGTCTCATGGCACTCGCGTGCCCCAGCCTTTGCACTGCTTTCTTTCACCCATTCTTAGCTCGGACGCTGTTGCTAAGAAACCGGCCCAGGTGTTTTCACCTACCGTTTTCGAGCTTGGCCAACTACTCGCTCCACCTGATACCAGTATAAATGACGATAGAGAAAGAGCGCCGTGTATTTTCGCCTTATGTGCCCCTGTGTTTACGAAATGTGTCACTACGTTGGCAGCAATGCGAGTGTTTCCTGAAATATTATGGGTTTTCATTCCAAGCACAGGTGTTTAGTAAAAACGGGATTAAATGATTAGTCTTCGCATTATAAAAAGGAAACTATAGCTTTGAATTATCTAAAGATATCTCATTTCTATTTGAATGTTCCCAAGACTTACATTAGAGCCGTTGAGTTCACACAATATTTTCGCCGGCGGATTAACTGCATTCGCGCAGTGATAAATACTTCCACTCCCAGACAAAAATCCCACTGAAAAAAAAAAGGGTATGAAGATACAACCAGGCAAAGTGATTATGAGTTTAATATTGTTTAGACAAGCAAACGCAAACGCTGATAATAATCCCTGGACAAGAGCAACAAGGGGACAAAAGACAAACACATATCTCCAAAAACAAATCTCCAAACACAGTTTGGAGATTTGTCTTTGCCCCTTGTACCCCTTGTTTCCCTTTTCCAAAAATTACGATTGTTATTCTTGTCCAGCTCGCTTGCACCATTGCAATAATTGCATTATCTTAGCAAGCACTGTGTGTTTGTTTAGCACCGCGTAAAATGCTGCTACCTTTCTAAGATTGTAGGCACAAGTTCGCCTAATTAAACTTTGATATTAAGTTCTACTTTTCTTAATCCTTTTTATTCGCGACAATAATCATTTTATTTATCAAAAAAGAATTTAATGCCAGATTTTCAAATTGGGCCGTCTGCTCAAAACATTCGGTGATATCGATCAACATTATCATCCGTTATTTTGTAGCACTACACATGAGGTGCATTTCTAATAACTGATTGCTTAACCCTCTCTACAACTTTTCAAACCGCAATGCCCCGGGAGGTCGCGACCGCTTCATTTGCGACATCAAAATAATCCAATTTCCTAAACGCATGTAATAGACGAAAGATTAGTGGTTTAACAGTGCAGACTGTGTGAGACTCTTAAAGGTGCCCTGAAGAGGTCTCTGAGATCGCCTGAATATGGCGATACCTCACTCTGCTGGCCCTAAGCATTCTAGAAGTCCCTAAATCATTCCGATACGCGGCACATTTTCCTATTAAAATTGCAATCGAAAATTGCAAAGAACCGAGGTCGTCTACGAGGATGGGAGGACCATGTTCCGAAACCAGGACCACTGTTATGGGAGTAAATAAAATTAATTGAATTGAAATGAAGTGAACTGTCAGCCAATAGGAAGCGAATGATTGTGGCGCCGCCGACCGGTGGAACCGCGGATTGATACCTGAATTCGTGTGGCTCGTTGCCCATACAGCTCAAACTTCGACTCCACCCAGCGAGAGCTGACCACCGGACACATCACTACCACTAAAAAAAAAAGGAAAAAAAAAACATTCTGTGTTTTTTCATTTTACATGATTATTGTAGTATTACGTCCCCACTCCGCGCAAAAAAAAACATTGTGCGTTTTTTTTTACACGAATATTGTAGTATTACGTTCCCACTCCGCGCAAAAAAACATTATCGACTATTCTTATATGCTTTCATCATCTACAAAAACATACACATTTTGTATTAATAGCGTTGGGAATCTCAACAAATGTGAGTTTTCATTGGTCACATGTCGTCCTGGCTGCCGGAACAATGCTCCTCCCATCGCCGGAGATGATTTCGGTGTGTTCGATCTTTGATTGATTTTAAATAAGGAAATCGGCCACGCATGTTTATGTTTCATAGAGTTCAAGAATGTTAGAGCCCGCACATGAAGTTCTCGCCGAATTTAGGCGATCTCAGAAACCTCCTAAGGGCACCTTTAAATACTATGCAATGAAGTGACTTAATTCCTTCTGTTCAGATGTGTATTAACACAACCTGTTACAACCTCGTCAGTCAATTGACGCTCTAAGCTCTAAAGCATTGGTTGCAATATCAAACAACGTTCAAAGAGCACCGGTGGCATCCATTCATAGGTGTTTCTTAAAAAAGTAAAACTGGCAAAAATATCTCGAGAGAAATCAGAAACACTTGGTTCAATATCTGCATCTTTAATATGGCTTACCGCCTTGAAATGCCGGTAGAATAAGCACCACGGTGAAAAGTACGAGCAGCATGTTGCTGATAGTGCGACACATAATTAGTCTAACAGGAACGTCCTCCTAAAAGAAAAATAATAACATAAGTATAGCCTCGACACTCGACAGCACAATTTTGTTCTTGGAATGTAGACGACACATGCAAAGAAATTTTTTTTTTAACAGCTTAGATGGAAAAAGAATGTCATGAAACAATTTTACAACGAAGGAAGAACATTTTTAGAGCTATATTTACGGCGCTATACGAATTTGTAGTTGGCGCCCGCGGGAGCCGCGGAAAAGTAGGCCTTATTTATAAGGTGACTGGCCCATATTTGTCACGTGGTGCTTGCGCTCTTTCGGAAGCTTTCTATGACCTCTAAAAGTAACTTATTCATCTTTGTTTGAAGTATCACAAAAAACTAAGATTAATAAGTACCTTTTTGGAGCCCAAAGGAAACTCCTGAAAAAGCACAAGCAGACGTGATAGACCTGTGCGCCGGTCAGATGACGGCGACGGCGACGGCGGCGTGGAGAAACGCGTTGAAGCGGCGTCGCATACCGCTCAGCGTGCGGCGGCGGCGTGACTTTGAGGCGGCGCCGACGCAGCGTGGCGGCGCGCGGGCCTACCACGTGACCAGCGGCGGCTCCCCGCGGGTGCCAAATACAAATTCGTTTTGCGCCGTAAATATAACCAATCATTTTAAACTAGAGAGAAGAACTTTCCCCCCTCCGCACAAAAGTCTGACTAAAGAACAAGAAGTTACGTGGCGTCGTCTCCAGACGCGATCGTTCCGCACCCCTTCACTCCTCGCGCACATTTATCCTGGTCAATACAACCCAAACTGTGAACACTGCAGCCAACGAGCCAACTACGACCATATCCTATGGGATTGCAAAATAGAGCCACCTCCCGGAGGACTACTTACAAATCCTTCTCTCGAGCGGTGGGAGACCGTGCTTTCCAGCCCTGACCCCAGAACCCAAGTTCTGGCGGCAGAGTGGGCTGACAAAGTCGTTGAGGGCTATGTACTCCCGACCACTTAACGCGATCCCTTAGCACCAAGCTCTTTTCGACGAATAAACGTTTTACAATCAATCAATAGCTTTAAATCTTTTTTTTTCCTTCGTTATAAATTCGTTTTATAATATTATTTTCCCGTCTAGCCTATTCAAAAAAAAAAAAGATTTTTTCCTTTGCATGGGTCCTTTAAAGGAAAGCTTCTGCGAAACATTAATGGTCATTGATTTTTATTAAATGTTCACCGTGTACTAAGTATTTACCCCTGAATAAGTATACAAAATATCTAATCAAAATCTTTATTTACTATAGAGAAAACAACTTTTAAAAATTACGCGTCCGAATCACTAACTGCCGCTGTACTGGCAACACTGAGCAGCCATGGAACTGATTTGGACGTCAAATGGTTGTATTTAAGAGCAGACCCATCCTCCTTGTTGTGTGTTCAAGCAGTAGGAAGTGTGCGAGAAAACAGTGTCGCCACGGTGCAGCTCCTCGCAGAAGCATTTCGAATTCCAAGTGACCTGGCATAGACATTCTGTGTAGCAGCCAATCTTAGTTTCTAAGGTTTGTTTACCTTGGCACAGCGCTACATTCAGGGATGAACTCGGCGCCAACTTTTTTACACGAGACCTCGAACTTGAGAACACATATCCTCGCCATGCGCCGGAAAAAAAGTCGCGATCGTCTCAATTCCAGTACGTCTACGCAATCCGCCGGCGAGCGAAGAGCAATTAGATATTAAGAGGAGCGAAAAATACTTCTCACGTAAATTTAATTAATTGGTGGCTCTGATGAAAGTCGTCTCGTAGTCATTTGCAGACCGTCGAGAACACAAACGCTTCGCAAAGGCATATTCCAGAGCAGGTGAAAGAAAAACATGGCGTCGTGTTGCCGCCGTTGCCGCTTACAACTGCGGGATACACATTTAAACTCTGAGCCCCGAGCAACTCCTGCGGCTCGAATAAAGTGAAAAAACACAAAGACAATGCTGGACCGGGGTAGGTATTTGAATTTCAGGGTTTGCCACCTTTCCTCCGGAGCGAGATCGAGAAACACGACCCGTAGAGTAATATACACATGGCAGAGCCGGATATGTAGAGAGTTTGGTCAATGGGAGGCGCGGGCAGAGCCAGGGCGTGCGGCAGACTCGGAAAGAGGGCTTGGCATGCTCTCTTCACCAACCAGAAGCCGAAAAGAATCCCCTAGCGGTGTTAGCGAGAAACAGTTCTGATCGAAGGTCTATGTTCGTATATGGTTTTAATAAGTGCGTAAGAGTAAAGTGTAGTAACTCTTCGTGGTGGAAATTAGGGTGCACGTGTTGTTTTGATCATGATCATGCAGAAAGACGTAAGAAACGAATGCGCCGCTCAACTCTGTTTTGCTCGTACAGAGTGTGACCGCTCGGACGGCAGATTCCCGGCCCTCGGCGTTGGGCGTACAGATTATGTCGATCGTTCCGCTAGTCGCACTCTTCCACCATCATTTTGGATGAGCGTGATTGAAACATCACGTGTACATATTTTCAGCCATCGAGAGTTACTCCAAAGCAGTTATCAGGTTTGTTTCTCGCGACCACCGCCAGGGAATTATTTCCGGCTTCTGATTGGTCACATTCGAATTTCTGAAGACGCCCTGGAACACGCCCAGCCCGCTTTCGGCCAATGGCGCCTCCTCATTTGTCTCCTATACTTCCCAACGAATGGCCAAACCCCCTACATATACGGCTCTGACACATGGTAAAGAGAGGACACTATAATAGACCCCAGCGGCCCAGATAGACGAGTGACAGCTAGCGCTCCTAGCGGGTGGCATTAAGTATAATCTAGTTCCTGTTCCGGTGAAGTCAGTTTCCGTTTCAGTTTGGGCGTTTCTGCTCCGGTTCTTTGGTACCCTTTTCCTTCTCTCTTCCTCCCTCTCTTTCCTTCTCGCCTCGCTCCTTGTTAAGCTCTCGGGTGCTCCTCGGCTCCTGGAGCCGCTGTTTCTTTTTTTTTTTTTTTAATGTTGACGCAGTTTTATTTTAGTTTTTACGATATAATCTGTGAAAAATATGTAAAACAAAATGTCTACTTCACAAAACAGACGTGTATATCTTGTTTTTCTTTATTATTTTTTTTGTGTAAAACATTAAAGTTACACAATCTCCACATTGACTTCTGACTAGCGGAGCATTTTGGGATCAACAACAGTACGCGGTTCGAAAACAATTTATTGGACCACATTCGTATATACGATTTACTTCAGACGCTCTGTATGTTTTATAAGAAGCTGATACTAATACTCACAAAAATAAATGAATATGAAGGAGTTCGGCATATCGTACACTTCGAAATAGATTTTTTGCGGAACCAAGTTAACAAACTCTTTCCACAGGGAACATGCTGAATGATCCATTCGCTTTCACGCCGACTCGGGCACGGAGATAAATAAGACACATCGCTATCATTACCAGTCATAAAAGTATAATAAAAGTGCAAAGCACATAGCGATGAGTGCAAATTCCCAATTTCTGGCTAATATAAAACACACGAATCGACATAGCCCGAAACACACTGCGGGCGAGCCATTACCAAACAATGAGAACTCTATTCAGAATCCGACAAGATTCAACGTCCCTAAACATTCCTCGAAATACATTTCATCAGAAAGGAAGCATGGCTTAAAAAAGCCATGCATTGCACTCCGACAGCATAGGCATTCCTTCTCCCTCCTCCTCTGACGCGCGCACCTTTTATCTTCATGTTTTGCTTTTTTTACGCACGCTGTCGACTGTAGCGCCGCCTGCATCGGTGCAAGATAGCAGGCGGCATTCTTCAGAGGATGGCGCTACTTTCCCGTACAAAGCGGCTTTACTCAGGATGGGTCCGCGGCGCGCCCTTTCGGAGAAAGAAGACTGGCTGCGAAAGGAGCGGCGACGTACGCAGCAGCGCGAATGGGTCCGTAACCGCCGCAAAGCCGCTGTCGCCTCGACTTCCGCTGCGTCGAGCGTTTCAGATTCCCTTGCCAAAGAAGAGCATATCACTCGCCTGGAAAGCCGCCGCCGAGAACAGAGCCAGCGATGTAAAGGGCGCCGGCGGGCCAACACCGCGGACGACGATCGTGCCACGGAGGCCAAGAGCAAGCGCGAGGCCCGGCGACGACTGCACTCCATGCAGGCTGAACTAGGGTGCCTACATGCTTCCGCTCAGAGCGGCGGAAACATGTAGGCACCCTAGGCTGAACAGTTCCCGGGCGCGACGGCGAGGTTCCGGAGGGAGTTCGTTGAGAACCCGTTTGGCGTCACGTGCGTCGTGTGCGACCGACTGTGGTTCGTTGGAGACGTATCCACGATCGGCAGCGCGTCGGACGAGAAGAAGCGGGAAACGGGCCCGTGCGCGTTGCGGCAGTATACCGAGCACAGCTCCGCTGGTGTTCCTTCTTCAGAAGAGTGGAAAGGCTGAACGATTTTTTTTTTACTCTCTGTTTGTAAAGTTTAAAGTTGACTATGTGCCTTCCCGCGCCGGAAACCTCCGGGTTTACATTCTGTCTATACATGATTCTAGAAGCTTCAACCAACAAACCTTACCGTTTTCTCTGGGTAAAGGACATTCCCAGCTACAGAGTTCGGCCGACGTCTTCAGCGATAAGCTTTGCTATACTGTAATACTGTTTAGTATTTTTTTCGGGTTGCCCACTTGCTTTGTCGCCATAGATACTCAGGTTAGAAATAAAACAAGGCTGTTTAAAGGTTGTTCTAAACGTTACTCCTCAAAAGTAACGATAGCGTTACTCGTTACTTGGTTTTAAAAGTAATTAACTAGAATACTCGTTCCTTTTTTAAAAAAGGAAACTAAATAGGTTACTTGTTACCGAAAAAAATAACTATGTAGAAGCAACTTGTTACTAGTAACGCATTGGGTACATGTCTGGACCAAACACCCCAGAAAGCAGGTAAAAAAACGAAATACTGAAATGTCTGAAGTTTATGTCGGCTTTTTCACTTTCAGTGTTGGGCTTTTTATCATGGCCAAATATACAACAGCTCGTTCGCAAACTTAAA